CGCCGAGGCGGGAGCTCGAGCACTGATGCCGCCGCCACCCGGCAGAGAATACGTTGGCGGGGAGTGACGGAAGGGGCGCATGCGCGGGCCGATCGATCGAACACAATGCGCGACTCTTTTCGTCGTCGTATCGTTTTCGTCGTTTCGCGTCGTTATCGTTGGTCTCAAGCTAATCAAAAACTCAAGGTCTGTCTGGTGCGGCGCCGCCGGCGCGTGCGGGACGTCGACTTGCGCGCGCCTCGTGCGGCGGTGAAAATTGATTCTCGCAGTTTTCGCACCCCCGACCCCGCTGGCGCTGCAAAAAAGCGCGAGAAGGGAAAAGGTGCAACTGCAAGAGAGCAAGACCATTACAGACCAAGAGCCGAGGCTCCGACGGCTGTGTATATCTGCTCGTCTATCCGTATCCCGTCTCCCCACCACTTCCCCCGAGCTCGGGTTGTGTCTCTCGGGTTCCCGTTTCCCGTTAAAGTGTTTTTACGATTTTCGTTTTCGCGCGGCTGCGGTGCGCGAGTTGCAACACTGGTGTGTCGTGTTGCAACTCGCATATATAGAGATAGATCAGATATCGCCGCTTTTTATTGGCCGGCCGGGCCGGGGCGCGCAGTGAAACCACCCCGGGGCCAACCGTCTTCGGTTTCGTCGCTTCCAAGTGCACTATAACCCACGAAACCCGAAAAGAAAACGTGTACCCCTTCGAGTGTATCTCGAGTGTTGCTATGGAGCGTCCGTTTCAACACGCGCTCGCGCGCTCGCGTCTGCTGGCGCCCAGAGAACATGTTGCACCACATGCTCCCGGCGGAGCCCAACTGCTTGCACTCGACAAGGCAGTCCATCCACTCGCGGCAGCTGAAGTCGAACTTCCACTCGATGCGGCTCGCGCCGGATTGTGAGCTCGGCGAGCGAGGTCGGAGAGCGACCTCCAGTTGGCCCAAGCCGCACGCCACTGAGGCAGAGCGGCCGTGCGCGTACGACGCCGTACGCGCACGGCCACTCTGCACCGACCGCAGCGCTGCAATTGCGACCGCAGTGGCTCAGCTCAGCCAGGGCTCGCTCGCCCGAGCTCGGAGCCGCCGGCGGTCATGGGCAGCAACAAAGGTTTGACGCGTCGCTCGGTGCAGGAGGGCAATGCAGTGGAGGTGCAGTGGCCGTCCGGCGCGCGCGCGATGGGCTGCAGCTTCATTGGCAGCTACCAGAGCGCGTCTGGAGCGCTGCCATTGTGTGACCCACGTGCAAGCGGCGGTTCCGGCCTGTTCCGCGCCTCTTTTTACGCCTTTCATTGGAGAGGGGGGGGCGAGGTCTCATCAACTTCGAAACCGCCTTTGAAAGGGGGCAAATGCGTCCGTCCCTGAGACGGTTGGAAAGGGGGTGGTTTCACTGCGCACGCCCAAATCACTCTCGTTCTATCGACGCTCACACCGCGGTGTGTGGGGACACAACACACGCACACACCACCGCACACGCACGCACCCGACACACACACTTGCGCACAACATGATACCGCATGTGCACACTGTGACACACATGGGTTGTCACATGCATACACACACAACACAACACACACACACACACACACACACACACACACACACACACACACACACACACACACACACACACACACACACACACACACACACACACACACACACACACACACACACACACACACACACACACACACACACACACACACACACACACACACACACACACACACACACACACACACACGCTCTCTAGCTTGTTCAGACCCACGCCTCGACCTTCTTGGGCAGCATCTGGTCCGACAGGTCCTCTCCGTGGCCTAGGCAGCCGGTCTCGCCCTCGCCCCAGGTAAAGAAGGCGCCGTCGGCGGTGATGGCGAGGCTGTGTTCG